ACAGAGCCCGATGCGAGACTTGAACCCGCGAATGTGAGATCATGACCTGAGCTGAAGTCGGACGCTTAACTGACTGAGCCACCCAACCGCCTCTAATTTTCCTATATTATTTTACTTGAACTGCGCTTTATTTATATTCTAAAGACTGTGGGATGGATTACAAAACTGATTATGTGTAGGTTTTTGAAATGGAAATTAGATGTGAAGCCGTGAAGAGAATGCAGCAAGAATGCTGTTCATATGGGCTATTAGCATTACTGTGCCTGAGCGTCACATTGGACCAGGGATTTCCTGCTAGTGACATCAGAAGAGGGAATTATCGTAGGTTCCACAGTTATATTTACCTTGCTGAGCAAACATACCAGTTTTGGAATAAGGACAACATTCTCCTGCTGCTAAATTCTAAAGTAAATTTACTATGTGGGATAAACAAGGAGAGCATTGAGCAACTGACATAACAATAATGGTTTTTTTTTTTTTTTTAAATCTTTTAAAAATCTTTTGTTTGTTTTTGAGAGAGAGAGAGAAAGAGAGAGAAGGGGAGGGGCAGAGAGAGAAAGAGGAAGAGAGAGAATCCCAAGAAGGCTCCACGCTGTCCGCACGAGCCCGGTATGGGACTGGATCTCACAAACCCCAAGATCATGACCTGAGCCAAAATCAAGAGTTGGATGTTTAACCGAGTGAGCTACCCAGGTGCCCCTTCAATATATTATTTTATTTTTTATTTATTTTGAGAGAGACAGAGAGAGAGAGGGTGCATGCATGCAAGCAGGGGAGGGGAAGAGAGAGAGGCAGAGAGAAAATCCCAAGCAGGCTCCCGCTGTCAGTGCCGAGCCTGACGCAGCCCTCAACCTCACGACCATGAGATCATGACCTGAGCCAAAATCAAGAGTCCAGTGCTCAACTGACTGAGCTACTCAGGCACCCCCAGATAAAGTTTTTAACAATCAGCGGATACATATGTTATTTTACACATCCCTTTTTCATCGTGACTTCCAGTAAAAACCAACATTAACGTATGACTCAGTAGGCATGTTGGGTGAAAGAACCGGAAGTTCTGAGTGTTTAGGGAGGCACCAGCAACATTTACTCCACTCCGTGTAGGCACTCTAGAACCTCCATGCTTCCCAAGGACCCACGCGTGATGAAGCTTAATGGGAGGACTCCCAGCCTTCCTCCCATTAGATAATGGAACCAGGCTGAATCCAGATTGCAGCCACTTCCAATAACATGGTTTTGGGGAAAGCCACATAGATCCAGATATCCCCTGGACTGGAAACAAGCAACTTGCAGTTTGAGCTGGTTTTTACAGTATTAGGGATGATAAATTGAGAGATGTTTATGTTACTTTGGGCCAAATTAGGATGGTTTTCTCCCTCCTGCTGACGTGCCCCGGCCATGATAATAACCAGCTTAGAGTTTGCAGTCCTGTTATAGCCTTTGCCAGAGACAAATTTGGGCATTCTACGGAAAAGGCTGCTGTGCTGGAGATCCATCATCTCTCCCTTCAATTTGTCTTCCATGACCTCAACAAGAGCACGTTCATCTGCCAAGCCCTTCATTAAGGTAGCGATGGCCCAGGCCATGCCAACAGCACCAACCCAACAACTGTAATCTTATTCTGGGGGTGGGGTGAGGTGTGGTCTTCCTTAAGTAGGTTAAGAAGGCTCTGAATCAGCTGTTCCTTAAGAGTTGCCACATGGGGCTTAGAATCGAAAGGAATTGAGAGTGCAAGTTGGGTGGGTGGGTGTCGGTGGCATGTGGCATTGGGTCTGGACTTGGTGGCAGTGGCTCTGGTACTCTGTCATATCTGCATTTCTACTGTGAAAGTTGAGAGATTTATTCAGTTCTTTATGCAAAGAGCCTTTGATAGCTCTTTCTTATCCACGGAATAACTCCTATAAAAGCAAATTTGTTGAAAGAATTCAGGCCTTTCATAAGAGATTTATGCTGCCCCACCTTGGCTCGAGCTTGTAGACCTGTGAGCAAAACCAAATTCCTCTTCAAGAAGCCCGGACTAGTGTTCGATCAAGACTCCACACCTCTACACCATAATACATAAACAAAGGGATTTGGGGTCTAGAAAACAACACATTGTCTGCTTTTACAGCTGTACCAAGAGGTCGATAATACCTGGGGGGGAAATGCCAGGTTCTAAGCAGCATAAGCTCTTGGTATGAACAGTGGGCTGAAAAATGTCCCCCCCGCCAGGTAATGAACATAGTGACTTCCTGAATCAAGTAAACAGGGAATGGAGAGTTCTGAAATAAAATTCATTTTTGGGATAGTTGGAGGTTTTGTGGAAAAATACGTTATATTTTGAAGAGAAAGATGAGAAATCAAGATAATAGATATACAGGGTATACTTTCTGTTTTGCTGCCTTGCTAAGTTGTGTCTTATTAAACAACTCAGTCATTTATTGGGTTAAGCTAATTAGCCACAATCAAGTTTTAGTGTCAGGGCTATACCACAAACAAGGACTGGAAACTATGCACAGCAAGTGGTCGGAGCCACTTCAGAGTTGAACTTGAGCAGAGTTGCCCAGAGCAGAATTTCTACCTTTTGCAGCTTCCCTCTAAGGGTTCCACTGGGAGCTTGGCAAGAGCAGCTAAAAAGTGTGAGTAACTTATACCTCCATTTCCCTCAGCAAGAGGATTTAATTATACTCCATTATACGCATAATTCACACATCTTTGATTGTTCTTTCTAAACCCCTTTCAATATTGCTTTGGCTGCTAATTGTAGTTTGCTTGGGTTGAGGAAAAAGATTAATGCAGGGCAACCATATTGAGTATCTTTGTTTTTATTTAATAAATATGCAGCAGATAAATACATCCAATAATTAGAGGAGACTGTACATTAGATACGTATGCCATGGAAGAAGGAGATTCGGGCAATAGTAATTTCATAAAGTTAGCAAGAGTCACTGTTGTTCCATACTTACTGGCCCATGATGAACTAGATTCTTATTTCTTGGGGCACCTGGATGGCTCAGTTGGTGAGCGTCCGACTTTGGCTCAGGTCATGATCTCATGGTTTGTGAGTTCAGGCCCCACTTCGGGCTCTGTGCTGACAGCTCAGAGCCTGGAGCCTGCTTCAGATTCTGTGTCTCCCTCTCTCTCTGCCCCTCCCCTGCTCCTGCTGTGTCTGTCTCTCACTCAAAAATAAATAAACATTAAAAAAAATACTTATTTCTTCATGTTTGTTGGGGGTGCCATAGGTTACACTGCTTCTTAGTCGGCATTGATTCAGATTAAACTGAATGCTAAGTTCTTTACTAGGTAAATACATTGTAAAGGAAAGAAGAGAACTGACGTTTTTCTGCTGAATTCCCATTATCTATAGATCCTACTTATTGTCCCCAAACTTACATACCTTAAAGCCAGATTTTGTATCATTTATCTACTAAAAAGCCTTTGATAGCTCTTTCTTATCCACGGAATAACTCCTATAAAAGCAAATTTGTTGAAAGAATTCAGGCCTTTCATAATTTGGCCTGATTTTATCTCCATAGAGACTGAACATTTTTATTAGCGTGTAGTCACATTAATCAATGG